CCCCCCCGCCGCCTTTGCCCCGCGCAGCTCTTCCAGATGCCTTACCGAAATGCAGCGTCCTGCCCTCCTCCCTGTCGGCGTCCATCGGTCCCCCACGGTCCCGGAGGTTGGCCCCGGCCGCCGCCAGCCCCAGCAGAACGCACAGGGCCACCGGCACGAGGCGCAGCATCCTGGAGAACGGCGACGACGAGGGCCCTGATGAGGGGGTCGCCGACCTGTATCGCTGGTGCGGCCGCGCGAGCGCGGTTGGCGCCGCCCCACCTGGCGGAAGGCGATGCCTCCCACTCTGTCACTCTCGCGATCCCCGACACGTGGGGCCTAATGCACTTTGGCCCGCGACTCGCCTCCTTGGCGTCCACCTTGAGTCCCGCCCGAGCCACGCACCGCGACGACGGCACACTGAGCGAGCGGCAGAGCTCCTGGGGCTGCTCACCTCTCCTCCCGCCACGCACCCAGAATACACCCGGTCCCGGTCACCACACCCCTCCGCGACCCGACCCGACGGCATACGGCCACCTCCCCGCCGGCGGCGCTACACTCGGATCGGCGGCGGCTGCTGTCAGTCGGCCCCACGCCGTGAACCCGGCTGCCCAAAATAAACACCCCCGCTGAACCGGCGCCGGCCGGCGCCGGCCGCTTCTGTCCTCTCCCCAAACAAACAACAACAGCAACAACAACAACACCACGCCAAATCAAGCAGGACCGAGCTACCAGAGCGGGGAGCGCCTGGGCGCGCGGGGGTAGGCCACCCGGTGCGCGCGCGTGCGCTGCGGGCCTGGCTAGGCAGGACGTCGTCGGGCGCCGTGTGCTCCGCGATACTCCACGCTAACTCCACGCTCGCGCCGCGCTTGGGCCGCCGGCCGCCAGGTGTCTCTGGCGCTCCCCGGGCCGCGCCGGCTAGCGGCCGCGAGCAGCGCCCGCAGTCGCGCCGCTGTCGAGTCGTGCCCGCGCCCCGCGCCCCGCGCCCCAGTCCCCGTCCCCCCCGGCGTGTCCTCCTCTCCTAGCCCTACCTTGGTCGCGTCCCGTCAGTGCGCGAGTGGCCGAGCGCCGAGGAGGTAGTCGTCGACGTGCTGTCGCCCGTGTGTGCCGGTGACAGCTGTGAGCGTGTGTGTGTGTGTGTGACTTGCGCCGGTGTTGGTGTCGGCGGCCCTGACGGATGGATATGCAAGCGGAGTAAGGTGTCCTGCGATCATCCTTGTAAGTATCGCATGTCCGCCAGGGCAGCGCCGGCGTGGCTGCGGGCGGGGGGCGTGACGAGAGAGCACCGCATAGCGAAACGACATTGCACTCGTTGTCTTTGAAAACCGGCGAATAAAACGAAACAACGTGTAAACAGATGGATTCGATTTTTTTTGGAGAATGTCTTTTTGACAGTTAGTGGTCCATGGCCCCATGTCGACCCGTACAGTGAGACCATACGAGCAGCGCCGCCGCCGGGCCAAGCTAATGCTGCACGGAAACGTGTCGACTTGCGTCCGTATCCCTCTTTTGAGCAGCCTTTCCAACTTCTTTTTGCCCTGTCGCTGTCCCGGGCCGGCCCATGCCGAAGCCATCTCATTCTCTTTTTCCTGTCTTATTCCTTCCCGTCTCGTAGTCCGCCTCGATCTGATAGGCAGGCTATGGAGACACGCGAGGCGCGGGGCGCCTGCGCCGCGGGGCACCGGCGAGGGAAGGGTCAGCGCGACCCATCGGCGCGAGGGGTCAGAAAGAGGAAGAGAGAGATAGGAGAGAGAGAGAGAGAGAGGGGGGGGGGGGGGGGGAGGGGGGGGGGGGGGGGGGGGGGGGGGGGGGGGGCAGTGGTTAAACAAAGGCAGGGCTGCATGCTTTTTAAAGGGTGCTAAATTTTAATGTCTTTGGAAAGGTACGACAATTTCCAAAGGTATTAAAATTTAGCCCCTTCGGGTAGTTAGAATTCCTTTCTAGGGGTGCCAATTTTTAATGCATCTGCAGAGGAATTGACTTATCCTTTCCGCCCTACCCTGCTTGTCTCTCCAGCAGTGTAAGCTCTCCTCGGATGGGGGAGAAAGATTCGCATCGCGAAATCCGAGCTCTGCAGTACATCTTCTTCGGTTCCCCCGTACCCCGTACCGGCACTGTAAAAAATATTAGTAATTTTACTAGCTACTGGGTGGGGAAATTTCATGTACAAAGGTTCGGGATTTGCAGTACATGGGTTGGGAATTTA